TCCGCAGCAAAGCCCTTTAGACCAGATCATCTAAATGTTCATTTATTTACTTTCCCGTTTTCCCACTCGACGAGGAGGCACAGAAGGCAAAAGGGCGCATCTCGGCTAGGGGGAGGGAGCTTTGTGCTACTTCCCATCAACGCGTTCATCGTCCCTTTTTGTGGCCCAATAAAACTTCACAAATCTCATTTTGATGGCTGGACACCTTGATGAAAACTAGCAAAAGTGCAAGGTGTCTCTTCAGCCCCCCCCCACCCAGCCCGAACTGTGCCGATGGATGGGTGTAACTTGGACTTCTGAATTCTAATTACCAGCAGAGCGCCGGCAAGTGTCCAGTCTGCTACACCATTCCATAGAGTTCTGCTATTCCCACCCCCCCCCCCACTTCCCCCATGAAACTAGCAGCATTTTAACTAACTATAGGTAGGGACATACGACGCATCGCACGTCTTACCCTTTTATTGACCCTTTCTCCAGAATTCGGGCCAGATTTTGACCAAGATGCTCTTCAGAGGTGGATTTAGTCAAATCTTTGCTTTGTAGGGTGGTGCTGGCGCTAGAACTAGCCGTCGCGCTGGTACCCGTATCACGAGCGTCAACGTCACAGGTAATTCCGGCGGCAGCGCCTGTGGCACCAAGCGTTTTTCGGCAAGCCACTGTTAATTTTGATTCGGAAGTAAAAGTACCCCTGAGGGGGGGGGGGGAGGGAGACGGCTTCTCAACAACTTTAATGTTTCGCGATTCTTCTGGCGCAGGCGGTTCTGAGCCGAGTGGAGATGACGTTCGTGTTCAAGGGTTCCAGTAACGCCAGGGACAAGCTTCACTCGGAAAAAGCTTGAACGATTGGCAGCATTTCCAAGAGTCGCGTAAAGGGAGAATAGTTCCAAAGAATAGTTCCAACAGATCTCTGAAAGGCGAGGCACATACCACGCTCGTCGTACGAGCAGTCAGGAATATCTCCTGTACCCTCCTATCACTACACGCGACTGATCTCCAATTCTTGCTGATCGTCAGAAAGGAAAGGCCACCATAGCAGGCCGGCTCACCCACACGACAAACGTGAATACACTTCGAAGGTGAGCTGACGCGAATGTGTTGATTCCCCATGGCTTCGCACCTCACTGTTAAGTTGTTTTGAATTGTTTTTCAAACTATTTCTACGCTTTCATATGAAATAGTAAATATGATCAAAGAAGGAACCATAAAAGCTTGAAAACCTTTTTCTCCCTTATCCGACGGTTTCGGCGTAGGCTCGAGAGCTGTTTGCATCGGTGGACTCTGAAGAAAAAAGGAATGAGACATAGGAGTAATAGTAAAAGTAGTAGTCGTCAACCCACCCAAAGAATATGTACCCAGGGACCAATTCAAAATGGTTCACAAAAAATGGAGAAATTGAGTTTAACAAAATCCCGGACAGATCCCGTAACATTTTCACTTTTACTATTAGAGCCGACAACAAGAGTATTAGGTTTGATGGCACAAATGGAAGATAAGCGATTTTCACGGACACACCGACGGACGAGATTGTCGAGCCTTCTGATCCGTCTGCATCGCTTCAATCATTCGCTCCTCGCTATCCTTGATTTTCTCTGCTTCCTGCACTTGCTGCAGTGCCTTGGCTAGATCCAGGGTTGATTGTCTGTTGCAGCATATGCCAACTGAAATCTAATCCTCAGTTCTGAAATGTACCAAACCCGAAAAAATACCAAGGAACAACATAATGGTACTGCTTACGGTAAATTTCTCTGAGAGCCATCTGAGAGCGATACGATGGGTAAGAGCGCGAGAAGTGGACACAAGCTACTCCATGACTTCGAGAAAAACAACTGCCACTTAATGCGTACCCCCAAGACAATCTTTTCCTCCCATGTTCAGCACCAACGGCCAACTTTCCGACAACTTTACTCCGTTTTTTCCAGGAGATACGCACCACACTATCCGCCAACTCTTGGGATCGAGGACGCAAAATACGACCACCGTATTAGGAGTTCGCCAACGTACCACGCCCTGATCCTATCTCCTGTCCTCGTCACTTCGAACTCTTTCTCAGAAAAACTTGACCGGATTTATGTGCGAAACCGGGAACTATAAATATTTCCACTACTTATTTTTACTCAAAAATCCCAAAGCCCTTCCATTATCTCGTCTTTTCCGGACTAGAACTGGCTCAGCGCTGTCGCTGGTCAACTTTCACAGTTCCTGGGGAACAGGCCGGTGCCGCGCCGAACCCCTTGAAACGCCCCAGCGTCTGCAGCGAACAGTACTGTAGGTTCATAGTTTTGGCAATGTGTCTATTTTGGCACATATGGCTGAGCCTGAGGGAACGCTGCCCCCGCAAGTCATTGTATGGACCGAATCGCGTTTAAAATCCCATTGTTATTCTGAACAAAACTGGAATACGTGGCGCGCTCCACGTAGGCACTGATTACGCCGAAAGCTTTTTTCAAGTGGTTCTCCTTTGAGAATATTCACCTCAATTAGCGATGAGCGGTGACCTACAATACACTGCGATGCCCCACTTACCGGGGGTTTTTCTGTTTACTAGGCCCCTTTCTGCACCTTCGTTACAAGTAATCAAGTTTGATTCGACGAGCTGAGAGTTGAAAAGGCAACTGTAACGGTGCCTATTAATGACTGTAGCCGAACCATAGGGAAAAATAAGAGGTGCAAAATTCAAGGGAAAACGTATTCACATTGAACTTATACCACTACAAACAACACACAAGCCAAGGAAAGCGCCAGTTATGCTCCACATTGAACAGAGTGAGTTTATCGTAGGAAAAAAGGAAAGTACCTGTCCCGGATCAAGTTTATCAAAGTTCGTCGCTCCAGGTGTCACTTCTGGCACGAAACTCTCCACTGGTTTGACCAACTCATCCGTGCTCGGATCATAGTCGAACATATAGTAGTCGCCAGCTCTTTTTGCTGAAAAGTCGAAGATATTAGATTTCCTAGGAATGAACAAGAGCCATAAAAACCGAGTTATTCGTGCTTGTTAGTCCTGAAACATATAGTAGAATGTTGGTAGCAAACCAAAATCAGCTGAAACTTATACGAGCACGTGAAGGGGTAATGTTTTTGTGGACTAGGCTATCCATCAAGGGATTTATGCGTTTCATAAAACTCGGGAAATAGCTGTGTAGGTAGGAAATGCGACAGAATGCAACAGAGGATGCACCGCCATCTTCTCCCAATCGCACTTCAAAGTTATACAGGGTTCTACTCTTGTAGAAGCCAATGTCAGAAACTTTGATCCTTCCTGGGCCTCCTGTGAATGTTGAATTGCAAGCCAAAATCAAGATGTGACCTCCCCCCCCACTAGGAATCCCGAAGTACAATGCTGCCGGCTACAGTCGACCATGGGCTTTTGTGCCAGGTGGTCCGCGGCGAACGAACACATACCACCATTTCCCTGAAATTTAAGCCGACTTCCTACCACTTTTACAAATTCCCTTCCTCTTTTCGTCTTCCACCCTCTTCTTTGCGGTATACATACCCACCAAAGGAGTGGTGGTATGTAACACAACCGAGAAAAGTAAACAACCGAAACAGCATTATGACGCCGCTGCTCTCCTCAGCGAGCAAATACGAGACCCTTCCTCGCTGGGGAACTTCAACGTCCCTGTCCTCTTTGGATTAATGATAACAGCAGTCGGGGAGAAATTCCTGCGCTTTTGGTGGCGCGATTCCCAAGAGCGCTTCTATAATACATACCGTAAGGTATGACAATTGTATTACTTTTTGCCAACGCAGTATCATAAGCAGACGTGACATGCAATTACATTTTTCATTATTGCGAAACCAAATCGGTAGGAAAAGGAGGATAGATAGAAGAAGTGGAAATAAAGTAAACAATGTGTGCGGGGGATGAACGCTGATGCCACAAAAATAGCTGGAAGCTCGGAGATGCAAACAGAGGACATCGAACCGGGTGGCGTCATCGCGTAGTAGCGGAAAAACTCTTCCTCATCTTCTTCGTGGTCTTCACCGTGGTCAACTGACACATGAATTACTATGCACTTCTGCTATCAAATCGTTAACAAACACCACCTCAAAAAGCGCAAGTCTTACCTGAATCGCAATGGGTACATAAGACACATTATGGTACTACACTCTAGTTCGCTACGATTGGTTGGGCGTGTCAGGGATTATGAGTGTGTCACGCCGTCGAAGCCGTTCGCTGCCTTCTTGCTGAAGCGCGCACGCGCACAAAAATTGGTAAAAACAGTAAACGAACGATATGATACAGTCATATCATTTTCTCGCTTGAACAACTGGTCGAGGAGGGTTCGGCACCGCGCCAAACTCATCCCGCCTGACACGCCCAACAGTTCGCAGCGAACTACACTGTAATTAGAGGCAGGGGGGCGCGATTGCTGAAGTCGAACAGTTGTTGCTCGCGTCATTGGTGGGAGGGCGTGGGAGGACGTTTAGCCATAATCCACTCAGCCCTTCCACCTATGACGCTTGCAACAACCGCCTGCCCCCAGCCATCGTGCCCACTGCCTTCGAATGGCACTCATGTCACTGCGGACTCAAACAGCGGTTGCTTAGTAGAGTGAAGTGCGAAGAATTCAGTGGAACCACTATGTCACGAAAGGAAAACTAAGTGAAAGTACAGGAGCAGGGTGTACCCTTCCCTGCCTGGAATGGGAGCAGACCGTTCCGAGCATCTTTCTCCACAAGTCTCAAGAGAGAGTAATAGCCACCGCAACCACCCCCCATTCTTAGTATTCAAAGGCCACATTCTACGATAGTCGAATTGGTAGAGAGAAACCCTAGCCCTCAGACATAGTGCCCACCTCATTAAAACATCGCTCCTTTTCCAGTGAGATGGAAGGAGGGTGGTAATGAGCTGCAACGGCTGTGTGTCTCCGCCCAGCCGGCTATCGCTTCAAAGGCACACTCCGCCCAGCCGCCTATGCGCTTGCAAAGGAACACTCTTAATTAGCATAAGATAAATACAGCGTTGAATTGGGAACTTGTTTTCGCAGCCTTCGAGAGGGAAATTTTCTCGTCTCAAAAGCGCGCAAAAAGTGGGCCGCAGATTACCGCCTAAACTCATGCGGCACGTGCCGGCCCATGACTTGCAACTGAACCACATTATGCCCGGCTGGTGATCGTAGTTGACCGCAAAAGGGGTCTTTATTGGAGACAGACCTTTCTCTGTTATTTTTTTTCACTAATAAGCCAGTTAGTCCCAACATTACTGCTTTCAAATCTCAAGAATACAAACTGCGATCGCGCAGAGTGCTTTTAGAAAGGAAAACATCCGATCAACCAGGACACACTGAGAGAAGTATACAGGGGGGGGGGGGGCAAAAAAAAGTCATTTTGCCTCCATGACTTTCAAGGCGCTATAAGTTACACTTTATTAAATTTTTATCGGACATTTTACTACCATATTAAAGAGCACATTAAATACTATAATGATACTCCGCCACAGCCTTCTGGAGGAGCGCCATCGAGAGATTCGGCCGCGCGAAAGTGAGTGGGTACCGGAGTTGAGCGAGATCGTTGATTTCTCCGCCACCGTAGACCACCCTCTTGAACTCCACCCGACTAGGTAACTGAGTGAATCAGACAGGGACAATACTTCAATATTACATCTTCATTCAGGTACGAAAACGCCTTCCTATTCGAAATAAGGCGGAGTTTTTCCAAAACCCTTTGATTCCATGTGGTGGCACCCAAACCTGTAGCAGCACAAGGTCTCCAAGAAGGTACGGGCGACCACATGTAGGGAGGATATTCTTCTCGAGTTACTTGATGTAACCGCCAGCGCTCACCTTCAGTCGGGGTCTACAAAGAAAATATCGGTCTTCCCCTTTCCAGGTACCCCGGTCCATACCATCAACTCGCGCCTCGGCGAATACGGTGAAGATGATGTCCTAGACCGTAGCCGACGTTGCCGTAGCTGTCGATGTGGGAGGTCTTGCAGATCAAGAGTACTGACCTCCAGGTAGCTATCTGTGGATGACTTCATTCAAGAAGTTTCGCAGCTGTTTGGAGGCGACGTGAATTCCAAAGGTGTTCTCCAGTCAGGCCGCGACTGGAGATGACTTCATATTTGGCGTACAGCAGGGCGATCTGCGCACGTGGCTCCAGCTTTATAGAGGATAGAGCTTGGTATCTCCGTATATGGTACTCAATACCACTTTCCCCCTGTCTGGCTGCGAAACTTCGTTGATATTGTGGGCTCGGCCGAAACCTGACCTTTTTTTGGCCCCCCCTGTAGAGTTCAAAGAACACGGCGGCAGTTGCGGCGACGGAAGGCATTTTGCACTTTTTGCCAACGTGTCGACCCATCTAGACGCCCTCTTCTCATAAATTAAAGAGACCATGTGTTTTTCAAGCACGTTTTAGCCATGATTGCATGCGCGACTTGCCTCAGCTCATCAACAGAGTCCAAACAGGTTTCACAATGAACCTGTAAACGGCACTCACTGAAGCAATAGTATACGAAATCCCCCCCCCCCATCGCCGACGCTGCGCCCAAAACAGCATCGAACACTACCTTGCACGACTAGAGATGAAAAAACCAAGTTAAAAGGAAACCCGTTAAAAGACCCGAAAAAGTGGAAGATTTGAGAAAAAAATTCTCAGAGACAAAATAAGGTTTCGACCGGTACCAATGAGCTACGTTTGTGTTGCAAAATATTATTTCACCCTTCTCCAGTTGTTTATTGTACCTGAAAACAAGACATCAATATGTTGACATTATGAAAACTGAATGAAGTAGTCTCAGAAGCCCCACCTGTCACGAATCGCCTGTGTTCTTTTGCGAATCTCATCGAAATTTCGCTTTTTGCTGATCATTCTGCTCCTTCATCTCTTTCTCAATTAACTGATTCTTCAGCACTGCTCCTCTGAAATAATTGAAGAACATCACTCCAAAACCGTTACCTCTATAACCAAGGAGAAAGGGACTCATAACAAAGCCGTGACAATTATGAAAGCTGGAGGAAAACTCCAGTAGCAAAGAGCAGGATTGATGTAAGTCCATTACTATGTTAACAAAGGCCCGCTCGGGTGACGATTACAGCTGATCTCGTCGCAATCAGTCGGGGCGGGGTGAAAAGATATGGAACGGGCACACCTAAACCGCCCCAACTGACACTGCCTTTTCCCCAAACAAGATAGTCTGCTTCGCAACCGCAAAATCTCTCCTTTTACGCGACTAGACAATGAGTAACGACGGCGCACAAGCCCGGCAGCCCCACTCCAAGGTAAGAGTTGCCGCGGTTTGCCTTGATGGGCCGTCTAGCCTGTATCTTGCAGCAGGTCAGCCCATCGTTGGCTGAACCACATCGTTGTGTGAAACACATAGGGGGTCGTACTTCTTGGCCAGGAAGGGAGGTCGTATTTGGTCGTTGCTGGGAGAAAGGGCGGGAGAAAGCTATATGTGGCTTTGAGAGAAATTTGCCGCGTTGGGAAAAAAGTTTTTCCGGTTGTTGACTTGTCGCGTGGTTTTCTTCTGTTTCATGTGTACCATATATTTACCCCTCCCCCCTCTCGACAGCACAATTTTTGGGGAAAAACTAAGTAAATTTTCGGGAATTTCCGGAAAAAAGTGTCAGGAAGTTGGGGGAATTTTGAGAAATTTTGCAGTTTCACACTGGCTCCGCTCGATGGAAAATCTCTGGGTGAAAAACTGGAAATGTGGGAAATTGGTTGCTAGCTACTGGGGAAGGGGATGGGCCGCACCAAGACCCTTCCTTGAAAGGGGGGGGGGGTCGTACTTACACCACCGTTGCACACATCACGATGCTGCACCGTCTCGCATACGGTACAATCCAAACCGATCGCTTATAACATAAAAAGAGCCTTAATTGAGGCGTTTTCGAGAACTTCGCCCAATTCTCATTCTTGCTCCCTAAACCACTTTCCACCTATAAATTCATGTTCAAAGTCCAATTTCCTCGAACTTCAACTGCTCAAAGACTTGGCTTTCACACACACGATCCTGGTTCTTGCCTTTTAGTGAATGGGTCCGCAGCTGCAGTAGCGTCCCACTTTCTCCGCTCAACATTGCAGTGGAACGGGGCTGGAGCGCAGTGATAACCGAATGAAGTCTGCGGACTCCACACGCGTTGCCGTACAGCCAGCCACACGCCTAACCATGATCGAACGAGCTACTTGTCTGCTTCCTCTCACTTCTGCTCATCCTCTACGGATTAGTGAGTGTCGCTGCGGGAACTTGGGATATGCAAGTACTGCACTGAGGATAGCGCGAGAGGACTATGGAAACGGCACTCGGCCACCACTACCCTTTAGCTCTAGCCATGTAACTTCGAGCGGAGGAGGTGACCTCTACTGCAGCTGCGGATCCATTTACTTTATACGCAGCTTCGAGGACGGTCTTTTCATTTGCACATGGAAAGAACCGTCCTCGGAGGTGAGTGTACAGTTAATCTTCTATGTGCTTTTGAAATCAAGAGGGGGCCCTCACCTCAATGAACGCTCTATCTCTTTGCTATAATAACCGCCCCCA